CTACATATTATTGGTTTCTTTTTTGTCACCCAACTATTATTTCTTTTCAAAACCGTATCAAGCATTACGTTTTAATCCTATTTTACTCACATGTCGTTAAATAATTAAAGATCATACTAATATATCATAATGCCGCATCAAAATTGAATAATAATAATAATAATAATATCACACCAACATCACCGTTTTGTTTTTTTTAACAGTAAGTGACCAAAACATAATATGAGGTATGCTTTTGAAAAAAAATAATAGTTGAATGATCAAAACAGAAACTAAGTAATAGGTCAATTGCCAAATAGGTATTTTACCCTTTCTTTTAAGATGGGCATGAGTTAAAGTAAACGATTTAGCTTAATTTCTGCAAGGGAAAACTCTACATGTCTCTTTTTTATTTTGGTCACTATACTCTCGTATCCGACATTCTCCTCCAAAATCTGAAAGAAAGAAATGCACCTTTTTGTTATCTTGGCCTTCCCTGAGCTTGTTGTGTAGCTGGGACACTGTACAAGGACTTCAATTGCCTGCTTATCAGTTTGCTCTTATTTAAAGCAAGTTGAAGATCCAACTCATCAGACCACCACTGCTCCAACCCATGAGCCTCGAGAAACTTCTGTTTCCCCGGCTTCGACATCACGAACAACTTCGCCGCAACCTGGGCATCCATGGAACCAATTTCTGCATTTTCCCCCTCGATTCCTTCTGGATCAGTGTAGTGGCAACATATATAATCTCTCTATTATTCAGATACAAGTGAGGCACCCATTTTTTCAATCCAACAGAAGTTTTCTCCCCATATATGTGGCCCAACCAATTCTTTAGGCTGAAAGTGTCATCCTCGATCTCCTCATCGATACTAGCCTGAGGTTCACTGCTCGAAGGAAGCATCGACTTGAGCTGCTTCCAAGCAAACTCTGCTTTTTCTCCAATAGTTCTCAAGCTCATAGGCAGTGAGATAGAAGGTGGGTTAAACAAATGAGCATCCACGTATATTCCTTCTTTAGCCAATGCTTTTCCCACTTGTAAAGCAAAGCCAGCTCCCAAGGAATGGCCTGCAACACATACAATGTTGTTTCTGTACCTGTCGGCAACTACTTTTAATGCCTCCAAAGCTACCTTAAATCTTACCGAACCCTTCAGGCTTTCCCAAGCTACAAACCGGAGATCATCCTCAATATCCCTCCGGATAGTCGGGCGTTTAAGCAATGTTCCTCGAAGTGCTAAGACAGCCTTTGGTGCTCCGCTAGGTCTAGCAAGCACAAAGTCGGCCAGGGCTGCCGACTGATCCCATTCTAGTACTGCTCCAAATATTGATCCATCCCTCTCATCGATCAAAGTTCGGGCTAACTTGTACTTGAAGGTCATCCACCAGTTTGGAGCAAGGGCAGTTTCCTTTGGTCTGCCCTCTTGTCTGTCCAATTCAAGCAGATAAACTGCTTGTATGAAGCATGCGATCACTGTTCTCTTATAGTTTGCATCTTTCCTATATTATTTGTGAATTGTTCATTAGAATGATTTCAAGAATTACTCTTCTAAAATTCTTTCACAAACTTATTCAATTTCATGACATATACAAGCAAATAGAAGAATTTTGAATAAAATAGATGATCCAATGGAGTAGGAAGAGTTGGAGGTGCAAAAGCTATATATACACATGCAAAGATAGCCATGAATTCTCTTGGGTCGAACATAAAATTCATAAATCCTTAACTACTCGTGGAATCATTAAAATCCAAGGACCTTAAATAATCTAAAACAGATAGATTTGAAGCAAAAAAAAAATGATCCATAGATTCATTTCTGAAAAAAAAAACATTTGCAAATGTAAATCACACGGCTTCATTCAAAGAAAACTGCGATTTGTCGTGGTTCAAACAAAAAATTTGCCATCACAACACAATAACCTTTCTAAAAGAGCAAAAACAGTGAGAAAAACCCAAAAATTGGGAGCAAAATAAGAAAATGGCCGTCTTAAATTAAACATTTAAACTTCGTTTTCGATCAAGGTTGTACAGCATGAAAAACGTACTAACCAACTAGAATTGATGAGGTCTCTCCAATTAGGTTTCGCGACATTGCGAGGGCCGGACACGTGAAATGCATATGGGTGTTCTTTTTCTTCTTCTTCCACTATCACCACCACTGCTTTTTTCAATCCCCAGCTTCTCCTCCTCTGCTCCGGGCTTGGCCATCACCAAACGGAAACCTCGACCCGAAGGAAACTGAAATCTAATTCCTTCTTCAATTCTCTGCTTTAGCAACAACTCAATTTCTTTGTTTGCAATTGTACTGTTGACAGCCTGTGAGGGAAAGCTTTCGGAGAACAGTTTCCTTTTCTGGACGTTTGAAACCTTCGACTTTTGAAGTAACTAAGGGATATAGGAGTAATTATCAATTTACTACTTATAATTATAGCTAAACGACACTTTTTTTTCCTTGACTTAAATACCGGTCCTCATTTATTTATGAAAAAACCAAAATAGTACAAAAGAAAATCTTGAACAATAAATAAATAAACACCCCCACCAAGAAATGAATGGGAGCCAATTGTATAGCACTAAATTAGGAATGACATACGAATATAATTTCATAGATTTTATATCGTATCCGATTTAATTGAGACCGGGATTGATACAAATTCAATAGATAGTGAACATGTATGGATGTAAAAAGTTATACTCATTGTAGGTAGTGGTAGGTGATGGATTTAAAACCTTTTCCATTCTATATCTAACTGTCCCGCATCCACCTACCCACTAATTACCCGCTATATAAATTTTAAATCATTATAAATTTAAGTATAATTTTAGAGACTATTTTATAAATATAAATATTTTATAGGATATGACTTATAATCTAACCAAATATTAGGGTATAAACTTAATTAATCATTGATTTATTTAGGCTTATAAAACAAATAAATACATTAAGTATATCATCTTTTTCATTTAAGTACATAAAGTATTGTTTGGTCAAAATAAGTACTTAAAGTTATATTTTTAGTCGAAATAGATACCTAAAACATTCATTTTTTTATCCAAATACTTAATGTATTCTTTAATTAATGTCACATATTAACTTTTTAGAATTTAGATGAAAATGTTTGAATAGTTTAAGTACCTATTTTGACATAAAATACTTTAAGTATCTATTTTAACTAAAAATATAACTTTATATAGTTATTTTGAGCAAAAAATACTTTAGGTATTTAAATGAAAAATAGAATATACTTTAACTACTTATTTATGATATAAGTCTTTATTTTATTACTATTATTAAAAAGTTGTTTTTTATTTATTTTTGTTGTTTATATAATATGTGAGGTTGCTGTTAAGGGAGTGTGTGAGATTACTGTTAAGTGGGTGTGTGAGAGTACATGCAGATAGGATAGGTGATGGATATACTTGAGAATATACTTGCAACACGAGCGACCAGCAAACTTCTCTGCTGCACTAAAACAAATGGAAATTGTGAAGAAACAATGCTGCCAGAGAAAAGAAAACAAAACAGATTGATCCTAAAAGCAGCAAGCAAACTCCTGAAATGGCAGCTATAGGTGGGGATGGCAAACGAGTATCGATCCGGCGGTCCAAGAGATGCATCCATCGCCAGGTAGTGTGCCACACGGTTGCCATCACCAGGGATGAACTGAAAGCGACGTGTATGTAAACCCCGAGCTCAACCCTTGATCTCCCGCAATAAAGGGCATATTTCAGACAAATCCTCCATTTCAGATAAGAGATTGGTGATGCCAGTCCTGGAGTCTCCTTCTAAAATTACCTTTGAAAAACCCAAATCGAGAGCGAATTTCACAGCATACAACGCCGTCATGGCCTCTGCACCAAACGGCGAGGTGATTCTTCTAAACCCTCTCCTGCAAGCACCCATTATTAATCCTGTCGAGTTTCGAGCAATCACCCCTGACCACCCGTTACCTTGTGTTCGTGAGAAACTAACTTCAAACTTGATCTTGATCATCTCTGACGGAGGAGGAGACCAACGAATCAGAGGTGAAGTTGAAGGACCTCTAAGACGAGTGTTTGCAATAACATCATCTCGACATTGGGCTCGAATAAAAGTAAGCAAATCTTCCGTGTTGCTAACTTTTCCTCATGAAATAATTCCATAATTCGATGCTTATCCCACTCCCTCGTATTTGGTTTCATCAGCTTCGCTACCCATTCAAGTCCCACTCCTCTTGGAGAACTTATCCTTTTTAACTCAGACTCCGGAAACCAATAGTCATTCCAGATAGAGATGAGAACCTGTACCGACCCTCCATTTGAGACCCATCTCCAATAAACCCCTAGCGCTCCAGATACTCTTCCAGATGTAAGACGGTTGAGTACCAAGATGGGCAAACATAAAATCCCCATGAGGAAAGTATTTTTTTGTAAATGTATGACGGGGAATTTGGAATCGACGTCTACGCTCCAAGGGCGACCGTCTGAAGCTACGGAGTCGACGAGAGAGACACAGTTAATTGTGATGTTTTCAATGGGGATGTAAGGGGAAACCATGAGTCTCCTGCAACAGGATCGACAGGGTACTGAATAAAGAAGAAGAAAAGACAAGGAAACTGGAGATAAAAGCGGTTAACAACCCTTGTATTCTCCATTGTAGGGGGAAAAAGCAGGGTAACAGAGAAAGATGAATATAAATTTTAAAAAGTAATAATTAAAGGAAATAAAAAGAGTTGGAATATATTTTACATTAATTGATGTGTATATCAATTTAACATTTTCAAAAGAAATTCGTCGAAAAAATTAAACAAATAATTTTAATTGTAAAACATGAAATATACTTAAAATATAAAAGATTGAAGTTTTTAATTCTAAAATATTAATATCTAATTTCGTGTCTCAAATTTCCCCCCCTAGAAATCACATTTTTAACGTAAAATTTCTCAAATACTGTGTTCAAGAGCAGATTTAAAACATAGAAACATAAAGACAAATCTGAGTTCAAATTTAAATATGGCTTAACAATGAAAAAAATATTTTTCAACAATTGTCACTGCTAGATCCCTTTGGCTTCTCTGCGGATGAAATATCCTGTTGTTTGACTGTTACAGGTTCATCTCCCAGAATAACTCCTTGCTTTTGTATGTACAACCATTTGTCTTGAAACAAGTAAACGAAAGCAATCAAAGAGATCTCAGCCGTCAAAAGTATGGTCCAAAGCTTTATGCTCCTTGACGTCTTCTCATGATATGCTACCAATCCAGTGTAAATGTTGATTATACCTAAAACTGAGGCTGCAGTTCCTAGTAACCAGTGTGCAGAAAACCATCCACTTCTTCCTTTTGATCCCCTGTAGACAAATTTTTATGCTTAATGTGTGTTGGAATGTCATGGACATATCCTCTACATCCATGTTAGAGATGACAACTGGTTAAATATCTACACATTCAAAATTAATTGGGTACCTGTAGGGGTGTAAATGAATCGAGTTTGAACGAACAAGACTATGCTCATGTTCATTTGTTTATTTTTGAAGGTGTTTATGTTTGATTCGTATTCTTTTAAAATTTTAATATTGTGTTTGTGTTTGTTTATTTATTTTTGAAGATATTTTTGTTGGTCTATTTATTGTTGGCGAACATAGTCGTTTTTATGTTCAAAAATGATGAAATTATGCCAGTAGTCTTTTAGTTCCTTAGGCTTCACAATTTGAATTCCAAAGTTCATCATAGGAATGATAGATGGGTACAATTTCGTTGATTTCGCACTGTACCAGTTCCAGTTGGGATTGAAATTGGTATAAGTTTAGTAGGCAATGAGCGGGTGTGAATGTAAAAAGTCATATCAGTCGTGGGTAGTGGGTAGGTGATGGGTTTGAGACCTTACCTACCTTGCATCCACCCGCTCTACACCCGTCCGCCTACTAACTACCCATCATATAAATTTTGGACCGAATTTAGATATAATTTCATAGACTATTATGTAAATCTTAAGATTTTATAAGATATGATTTATAATTTAACTAAATGTTAGGTATACACATTTTAGAATTGAAGATTGTCGTTTCTCTTATCTCAAATTGGGGGGTATGGGCAGGTACATATAGGTACGAGATGAGTAGTGAGTATCCGGTTAGTGGATTTGAGAATGTACCCGCGGGTGTGGATTTAAAAATTTTACCTATGGGTAGTGCATATGAAAATATTAGGTGGGTATGGGGGTATCCGCACCACCCTGCCCGTTTGCCATCCCTAGTTCATCATGTGCTCAATTTAGTCTAGTTTTACCAATATTTAAAATCTAAAAGAAAATAAAAAGGAAAAGGAAAATCGGATAAACGAACTTATAAATGAATGGATAAACGAGTTTGTTCATAAATATAAACGAGCCGAACACACCTCTTGTTTGTGTTTGTTCGTTATTTAGCTTAATAAATAAATGTTATATGAATGGTTCCGGTGAATCTAACAACTTATTATCTCGAAAGTTTAATCCGAAGAAAGGAGTTACGGTGGTTTACCTCGAAGGACGAAGGACCCCAATCAATGCCTGCAACCATATGATACAATATAAAGCTAACCCTAGTCTTTGATGATGATTGTTGAAGGAATTATTGAAGTTTTTTACAGACATGACTGCCCCAGCTGTTGCAAGAAGTAGAGAAAGAATCTGCTGAACAAAAATCAATAGTTAAATGCATGAAAATTAGGATACTTTTAAGAATCATTTCTTGGTAAATATCAGAATTAATTATTCTCTAAACTATTAGTTTAATGTGACCTTCTTGACTTGAGTCTTAAGATACCTTACTGATCTCACAGTAATCATTTACAATGCATCTGGTTGAAGATTCTGTATATAAAAAACAATTGCCCTTTTCTTGCTTCTCAAGCATTCATAATAATATATATCTACAGACTATTATATTCATTTAGATCTTATTTTTACAGTAGCGGTAAAGATGAACTCGCCTGTGAAACTACATGAACATAGAAAAGAATCTTAAGCCTTCTTCCACATTCTTGCATATTTGACAGTCGAATAGTAAGTATCCCAACAGGCATAAAAAACCCCATTGATGCCCACAGGAGGAATCCATGTAGTTTAATCTCAAACATCAGTTTATGATCCACCTATTAAAAAAACAAACAAACCAGAAGCCAGAAACAAAAGACTCTCGATCTTCTTGCTCTGTAATCAGAAAGAACAATGTAATAAGTCAATAAACATGTCAATCCCTTACCTTATGAATGTTGCCTACGGGCGTCTTCACATGTTGTTGAGACGATGAGCCGACCACCGGTGGCCCGAGTATGCTCATAAGACATATAAACATGATGAAATGAACCAGTTTCCCCGTCAGAAGTAGCATTGTTGATGTTCTTAGTGAAAGACAGAGATGAAAGCAAAATGGAGGTGAAAAGACTGGGGAATCGTCTCTTATAATAGACCCACCCTTTACTTTATTTGCCGCATACATAAATAATGGGAAAAAAGATATATATATGTATATATTCGATAAAGCTGATGTGTAGCTTTCACATGCCATATAGTGATATCTTTTAAGTGCAACTCGTTTGTGTATATATTGCATGGAATATTAAACAGATTGAAAAGCATGTGGGGATCACTTCTAGGCTAGCTTTTTGGAGTGTTGCAGAAAGTGGAATTTCAAAGCTAAATGGTGTGGTTAGGTTCTAAATAGAGAAGAAGAAGAAGAAGAAGACATTCAGAATGGTATATAATACACACTATCCTATGCTTAATGCTTCCCATTACTCTCTCATTGCACCATAATACCTTCATTAGATATGTATTTCGTTTTATATTCTATATTGATGCTTGTGTGTTTGAAAAAAAGCTTAATTACTCGTATTTCTGCATATGGAAATTATGAGGGAAACTGGTTTTGTAATTTGCTCCCATGGATGCTTCCAAAAGCCGAGAGCGATGTAAAGAAGAAATATAATTTTAGGTTGTGGTGGGGATCAGTGGTCCTTGTTCATATCATCCAACTGTGCGCTGGAATTCCTCGAGGTCCCTCATTGTAATCATTTGGTTCTTTTATCAGTATTGTTGGTAATCTACCTATCGGGTTAAGTAGCCGCTGATTGAATCTTCATTTATCAGTTTTCTATCGGCATACACTTTAATCTTCTTCCCATTTTGCAGATAGGGTCGAAGATTCTCATACTTTTAGGTAGATAAGATTGCTTATTCTTAGTTAATTTAAGTAGGGAGTGCAACGAATCGGGTTGGATCAAGTTTTCAATCAAACTAATTAGGCTTGAGAAGCATATTATCTCCACTTTATTATCCCAATTCAACATGTGTTTAAGGAGGTTGCATTAGATCCGAAACTCGACTCAAATTTTGATATAGGAACACGCATCCAACCTGACCCTACTCGACACAAATATAAAACAAATTATTATTTTTGTTTGGCAAGATATGGACTTAATTGAAAAAAGAAATAGATAGAAAGATATTATAGTAATTATCCCTAAATATATAAAAAATTATATTATTATATCGAATCAAGTCGAATATTATTCATTCTAAACACAAACTGAATCCGATCCGATCTCAACTATTATAAAAATTTAACATGACCCGAACCTGATCTTTTTAAACAATCCTATTAGGTCGAATGATAACCATTTACCAAGAGTTGTAGGGATCTCACATGTGATTCAACAGCCAACCCATAATCATGAAATTGGAAGAAAATTATATCACTTGAAGATTTAGAAAGTTTTAGCACAGTACTCATAAACCCAACACATAATTAAAGTTGTTGATTCTAAAATTAGTAGATTTGTTCATTTATCCAATGATTCTCCATTTGACGATTTGTCTTCGAAGCATAATCAAGTGCATTAGGGTTGTAATTCATAATCATTTAATGAAAAATAATTAATACTATGACACAAATGAGTCGTTTGAATTTAATAATATTTTATTTGTTTTTTAATTAAAGTTTATATTTAGATCAAATAAGTAAATAATATTAACTTGACTATAAGGCATTTTTTCTAACAAAATGTAGCAATTGTTTTCTTTAGTATTCTTGTAATTTTAAAAATACTTATAAAATACAAATAATAGTCGATACAATATATTTAAAATTGATTTAAAGTGAAAAAATGATTTAAAATATCAAAATTTGTACTAATTGACAAAAGTATAACTGAATTGGGATACTCTTAAGCCCAAGTGTTCAACACCAAATTCATACGGCCCATTGTCTCGTCCAAGAGAATGAAGCTTTGGGCTAGAATGGTTGTTATGGAAAGATTATCCCCTGCAATTAAACTATACAATTAAGTAATATTAATTAATCAAAAATATTAAATCTTTATTTGTCTAACATTTTCCTTTTTCTTTCTTTTTTTCCCCCTTTTCTAATTAAATTTTATCCCAATAGTCTTGTATAACCTTTCTCTCGTCTTTTATTTTTACTTTATTCATTTTCTTTTTTTTATATTATGTATTTTCTTTTCTTTTCTTGAGTTTTTTTTTAAATTTTAAATAAGGATCTCTGTCATTATGACACGTTTTTCTATACTCATATTTTTTATGCTCTTGTGACATGATCCTTATGGCTTTTAATCTGTTTTTCGCATACATTTTTATGCTCGTTTTGGTGCTCGAACAAAAATCTATGTAACTTCTTTTTTGATTTGTTTGTCTTCAATCAAATATTATAAAACAGTTTGGTTCGTTCAGCACTCCCTTCAGTAAAATGCTTTGTTCGAAAAAGATAATATTTTTTATGGATGTTACTAAATTCTTTAAATGTTTTTTGATTTGTTCTTTAAATGTTAGCCGTCATTATCAAGGAAGTGCTTCGATTTTTCTTCGTGTTGTTGAATTTAATGTTTTTATTTTCTTATACTTTTTTTTGGCAATTATTATCCTTATTTTTGGATGGGTTGTAGTTTAAATTTTTTCTCTTATTTATGATAATAAAATTCAATTGTTATTATTAAAAAAGAAATTAACATTTTCCCATTTTTTCATTGATAAAAAATTATACTAATGATCAGGGAGAATATATAATTCAAATTCAGCTTCAAATAAACATAATAATTTAATCGGATTAATTATTTTCGATACACGCAGTTCAGAGAAACACAAAAAAGAAAACCAAATTACCAGATAGCTGCCATCCCCGGTCTCACAACATACTCTCATGGCTTCTCTATTTATAATAATTCTCCAATTTTTATCGTAATTTCTCACAATACACAAATGGCTAATGTTTCGGTAGCTGCAGAATGGAAGCTACTCTACAACCGCTACTACCCCAAGTTTTACCCTATGAGATGAAAGAACATTGACTTATCCCGCAACAAGGTCGCCTGTGCTCCCTTCGGTGGTCCGATCGCTGTGATACGCTCACGCAGTTGTTGCATTTATACATGTGAATGTAAACCCATATATTTACGCTGATAATTGTTATAGTTTGTATACTATGCGCAACATGTATAATTGCGAGTTCAAGTACCTCTCGAACGATGCATGTTGACCAGGGTCTGGGCTAGGACATTAGAAGCCTTGTGTAAATTCTTAAAAAGAGACCCTTTTTCGTAAAGTGAGTTAGACAAAAAAAAATGAGATAAACTTTACAGCTGTAGCATAATATTAATTATTGATATTTCCCATATCTTCCTTCGAACAAAGTTTTTTGGGCTCCTTTTTTATAGTTTAATCATCTACGGTAATACCAATAACCTCATTGTGAACTTTTTGGGGCCCTTGCTATTCCGGGGATCTGTTCCGTCGCGCACATTACCTATGCCTATCCTCGCCTCTGATGTTGACCACCTACTGTAACTGAAGAATGATTGCTCAATCCGTAATTACGTAGGAAGTTGAGGGGTTGGTCTGAATCTACTTGAATTCATACTGATATGGATGACCTTCAAAGAGAGCAAGGTCTGCAGAAGCTATGTGGTCACTACAGAGGTGAAGGCCACAATATGAAGCATTATCCACATCTCCCAAGATATCGAGTAGGCTGATAAATACTTTGTAATCTCATTTGTATCGATTTTACAAATATCAATGATAATTTTTAAGTTTTTATACGTTTCATATATAATTGCAAACAATAACGCTTAACTAAGATCAAAATCATACATTTATTTAAAATATTTTTTCAACAAAATAAATATCGAGGTGATGAGTTCCACGTTGTTTTTAAGAAAAAATACACTTAATAATCTTCAAAAAAAAAATTTAATGAGACTCATCACCTCGAGGTGACGAATTCCAATGAAAATATTAAAAAATTTGGGCCAAAATAAAAAATTATGTCCTTGGAACTTGTCACATCGAGGTGACGAGTTTGCCCTGCACTGTAAAAATTATCTTAGATCCCAAAATAAATTTTGGGGTGCCTATTGAGCTAAATAAAAAACGGTCTACCCTAATGGCCCAAAAAAACCATATTTCATTAAATTGAAAGCCCATTTTCATAAAAGCACTAATACCATTAATGAGTATTGATATTATTTTATATACTTAAAAATTACTTATAAAAATATATTTATTTGAATTTTTTTAATAGTATGGATGATTACAACATAGTATATGTTCATAATTGGTTTTAGTCATTGACAACACACTATAGATATAATTGTTCGAACCAGCGGCAGATTTAAAATTTAAAAATGGAATCCAAAATTTTAATTTTCTTTTTTAAAAATTAATAGGTATGCAAAAAAAATTATTTTTCCCTTTACACATTGAACTAAATTTAACCATTTTTCTCAAATAATGGGGATACACTTGACCTTTATAGAGGCTTAGTGCATTCTCCTCTAGTTCGACCGAAGACCTTAAAGGGTAAATCAATTTCCTTTAAATCCAATTTACATATTTTATTGGCTTATATTATGAATATTTTGAGTAAGCTAAAAAAAAGTTTATTTCTTCCATGTAAAGTTCTCAAAGGAAAATATATTGAGAAAAATAAAGATTTCAGAATTTAGGAGAGGTGATCTAAATTCTATTAACAGAGGCGGGGCTAGGCATGTGCAATGTGCGCGACGGAATATGGTCCCGAAATACCAAGAGCCTTAAAAAGTTTACAATGAGGTTATTGGTATTACCGTAGATGATTAAACTATCAAAAAGGAGCCCAAAAAGCTTTGTTCGAAGGAAGATATGAGAAATATCAATAATTAGTACTATGTTACAGCTGTAAAGCTTATCTCTTTTTTTTTTTGTTGAACTCACTTTACGAAAAATGACATCTTTTTAAAAATTTGCACATGGCTTCCAACGTCCTAGCTTCGGCCCTGTCTATTAAAGTTTGAATTTCAAATTCATTTGATTTTGAAAATTCATAGTACAATCTGCTTATTTACTAAAGACGCAAATTAAGAGAAATAAATGAAGATATGAGATGAAGCGGAAGGTCCTCGAGTTATACTATAAAATTATTGTGCCAGTACACTTATATATATCTAACGTATAAGGTTTGGTGTATTAGCATATAATGTTCCCATAGATGGATGTATTCTTGTTTCTCTTTTCATGTTTTGCAATCGTTCACTTATCATTATCAATAACAAAATCGGCTTTGGATTAGAAATTTTATGGATAGTAAGTAAGAGTGATTTGAGTTGGACGTTAACCAGTTGATTGAATATGACAAAATGCGATCTCAAAATCTCAAAAGAGTATTATATCCTAGGCAATATGTTAACGTCCAGCTTAGATGATTATTGTTTTTAATAGAAAATGACAATTTTAGAACACATGAATAGTTATGTGACTATTTTATAACTTTTTAATAGGCGATGAACTCAACAAAGCAAAACCTTATCTTCAGTAATCATTTTATAACTTTTGATAATCATGATACTCAACAAAATAATATCTTATAATTAAATGGTTGGTTGTCCATTTTTTCCCATATGTATGGAGTAAGGGGAGGTAAGATAGTAGGCTGCCTCCAACACCAGGTTGAGAGCAGCTTTCGTAGGAGACCTCCGAATTATGAAATGCCCTCCGTGGGACTCGATCCCACGACCTCAAGATTAAGAACCTTGTGCTTTACCAACTAAACTGGATAGTCATTTCATAAAACAATATCTTATAATTAAGAGATCATTTATATACTTTATCCTTATTTTATTTATTTACACATGAATATCGTATATGAATGATTTGATTGACCAAAAAACACGGTAGTTGACTAGTAATAATTAAGTAGTGGGAGTCCAAATAGTTATCACATACATTGACTTGTCAATGGGATTCAATTTCTGTTAAATAAAATAAAATGTCCCATTCTCACACGAATAAAAATGTAGAAATGCTCCAGAAGAAATCTCTCGCGGCATCTTATTATTTGGACAATAGCACCAACGAAGTCGGGCCGAAAGGTACATCACCGGCTAGTCCTCCATGATCGATACGCAATAGGGTGATGATAGTAGCATAACAAAGATACTTCCAAATGGTTATCAAATCAATTTACAATTTGTATATAGAAAACAAATGTGGAAATGTGGAACAAGTGAAAGAGAGAGTGTTGCATGAAAATTCGAACGTGGAACAAGGGAAAGAGTATTAATTTTCAATCTTTATTCATATGCATCTTTCTCTGGTTATCTGCTTTTCCCTTGCAATGGAGAATTGGAGCAAAACAAGTTTTTTTTCCCTTCAAAACCTCTTATTTCTCTTCTTCTTCATCCAATACCTTGTCGTTCCAGTTACAGGGGATGCCCCGGTTACCCCTTACGACCCTGTAGAAACCATCACGATTGATTGTGGTTCTTCCGAGGGTGGCACATCTCTGGATCAACGTCCTTGGTTCGGAGATGGCAGTGGGAAATTCAGCCTCATAGAGCAACCGAACAATAAGAACAAGTCACTGGCGATTCCATCTCAATCGCCCTCATCAGTTGATACGGTCCCTTACACTACAGCTCGTGTATCTTATTCAGAGTTCACCTACTCAATTCCCCTCACCACAGGGCCAAAATTCATTCGCTTCTACTTCTATCCAACTTCATATTCAGGCTTTGGAGACCCTTCTAATAAAGCTTTCTTCTCTGTTAAAGCTGGTCAGTTTACCCTTCTTCGGAATTTCAGTGCCGTGCTTCATGCTCCAGGTGAACATCCACTCGTCAAAGAATATTGTGTACACGTTGATGAAGGTCGGCGGTTAAACTTAACTTTCATCCCAAGTCCTGATATCGCTGCTTCTTATGCCTTCATCAATGGTATCGAAGTTGTTTCCATGCCACCCAATCTATATTATGGAGCAGTCGGTTATGAAGATGGAGTACCTTTTCTAGGCCAGGACCAGGGAAGCTTGTACCACGTAGAAAACTACACCGCAGTTGAGCTGATGTATCGAATCAACGTCGGCGGGAGCTTCATCTCGCCGAACGACGACACTGGGATGTTCAGGACCTGGTTAAATGACGAAGTCTATTTGACAATAGCGAAACCAAGTGCTCTTCCTGTTAATACCAGTGTTAATCTCACCTTCAGCAGTATACCATCGTTCTCTGCTCCAAGGAAAGTTTATCTGACTGCAAGATCCATGGGGACGAACAAGAACGAGAATGAGATCTATAACCTGACATGGGAGTTTCCGGTTGATTCTGGGTTCAATTACTTAGCAAGGTTACATTTTTGCGAGTTCCAGAGAGAGGTAACGAAACTAAGCGATAGAGACTTCAAGATTTTCTTGGCTAATTTAACTGCAGAAACTCAAGCAGATGTTATAGCTTGGAGTGGTGGAAACGGGGTTCCAATATATCGGGATTATGTTGTTCCAATAGGAAGAAAAGGAAATCAAAAGCAGCAAAATCTCTCTATTGTTTTGTATCCTTCGCCAGCTTGGAGAACTCTTTATTCTGATGCAATATTGAATGGGGTAGAAATCTTCAAATTGAGCAACGGTTTTGATTTAGCAGGACCCAATCCTGATCCAATCAGGATAATTCAACTAACAAATTCACCACCGACCTCGACCAAATCCAATGACGATAAGAAACCAGTATTCGACATTGTGGGGGGCGTAATATCGGGCTTCGTTGTTCTGTCTCTTCTTTGTTTCTTCTTTTTCCGTCGAAAGATGAGACTGAAAGATGCCGGTTCCAATAAGGGTATTCTACAGTCGAGTCAGGTTTCCTCTACAATGAAATCATCCAAGCCACCCGAGTCATGTGGCTCATCTCTGCCTTCTGATCTTTGTCGCTGTTTTTCACTGGCTGAGATCAAAGGAGCAACCAACAACTTCGACGATGTTTTCATTGTCGGTTTCGGAGGCTTCGGCAACGTGTACAAAGGATTCATCGATGGTGGTTCCACCCAAGTTGCAATCAAGCGGTTGAACCCGGGGTCTCAACAAGGTGCTCATGAATTCAGGACCGAGATCGAGATGCTTTCCCAGCTACGACACGTTCATTTGGTATCATTGATAGGCTACTGCAATGATGGCGGCGAGATGATCCTCGTATACGATTACATGTCCCGTGGGACACTTCGTAATCATCTTTACAACTCCGACAACCCTCCACTTCCATGGAAACAAAGGCTAGAGATTTGTCTTGGTGCCGCAATCGGGTTGCAGTATCTTCACTCAGGTGCTAAACACCCAATCATTCATCGAGATGTCAAGACAACAAATATCCTGTTGGATGAGAAATGGGTGGCTAAGGTTTCGGATTTCGGGTTGTCTAGAATTGGCCCCACGAACATGTCCCAAACCCATGTCAGCACGGTTGTTAAAGGCAGCTTAGGTTATTTGGATCCCGAGTATTCCCGTCGAGGACAACTAACTGAAAAATCCGATGTTTATTCATTCGGAGTGGTCCTTTGTGAAATATTATGTGCTAGGCCACCACTCATCCGGTCGGCCGAGAAGGCTCAGATAAGCTTAGCACCATGGTTCCAACAATGCCGTCAAAATGGAACACTAGACAAAATCATCGATCCATTTTTGAAAGGTAAGATTGTGCCCGAGTGTTTGAAAAAGTTCACTGAAGTGGTAATGAATTGCTTGGATGATGAAGGAACAGAGAGGCCATCGATGGATGCTGTGGTATGGGGCCTACAGTTCGCACTGCAATTGCAAGAACTTGCCGAGGAGGAGGAGGGGCATATGGCAAATGCCGGTGCCGGCATCGTTGCCGAGACCCCTTTTACAGGCTACGAAATGGAAGATGACAGTGAGGAAGTGTTCAGTAGCATTGGCGATCATGTCATGAATTCCAAGAGCATTAGTACTTTCAATTTGACAACAAGTGATGAACAAAGTTTTATGACAGAAGATTCTGATAAAAACACGACCAAGGCAGTGTTTTCCGAGATTAGAGATCCCCAAGGACGATGATCGAAACATGCAAGCTTGTTGATGAGGAATCTCGAGAGTAATGCCAAGTCCATTTTAGAAAGATCCAATAGATTTCAAGGTAGTTTCATGTATGTTTAGATAAATTGCATCTATAATCTTCAATATTAACCTACACCATAAACAGCTGCCTCAAACAGCAGAATTTGGCTTAAACAGTCCTACACAATATCCGCTTTGGGTTTATTGAGCCAATGATATGTTATCACGATTAAACATCAAAGATCTAACTTAAACAACCCAGGACTCAATGAAAAGAGAAAAGGAAACAGGTGAATACTGGTAAATCGACTACTCATTTGTGTATTTGGTAGCAGCCACGATTGAACGTACTACCTCGACAATTTTCAGATCTTTTAACATCTTTATTTCTCGGTGGAGTGCATAAGTAGCCGAACTTATCACTATTACAAGCAGCATTGGGCTTAAGGGTGTTGCTCGACGGCCGTCCACCACCTTGCTGCAGCATTCTTCTTGTTTCCGACTCCACCAACTAGTTGAATCCCAGGCTAAAGCATTCAGCGGCGGACGAGCCGTTGCAGTGGAAGAAGCCGAGGTTGTTACTCTTCTCCGGTGAATCTAAAGCATAATGGCTTGTGCACCACGGAATCATCAGCATCAGCATCAGAAGCAGAATTGCTAGATGTACAGTAATTTGGCCTTTAAGACGGCGATAAGGATCTCCCATGTTTTCTCTTAACTTAGCATGTGAGACCACTAATTTAGAAGGTGTCCAGTAGGTGATCTATCGACGGATATTAATAATAAAGATTGTAGGGGGTGGATGGAGTGATTTATTATTTTTGACAGACACTGAGAAAAGTGGTCGCCAAAAAATTATATTATTATATCGAATCAAGTCGAATTTTATTCATTCTAAACACAAATTGAATCCGACCCGATCTCAACTATTATAAAAATTTAACTTGACCCGAACCTGATCTTTTTAAACAATCCTATTAGGTCGAATGATAACCATTTTCCAAGAGTTGTAGGTATCTCACATGTGATTCAACAGCCACCCCATAATCATGAAATTGGAAGAAAATTATATCACTTGAAGATTTAGAAAGTTTTAGCACAGTACTCATAAATCCAACACATAATTAAAGTTGTTAATTCTAAAATTAGTAGATTTGTTCATTTATTCAATGATTCTCCTCCTTCCTCCATTTGACGATTTGTCTTCGAAGCATACTCAAGTGCATTAGGGTTGTAATTCATAAGCAGTTAATGAAAATTAATCAATACTATACCCACAAATGAGTCATTTGAATTTAAAAATATTTTATTTGCTTTTAATTAAATTTTATATTTAGATCAAATAAGTAAACAATATTAACTTGATTATAAGACATCTTTTCCTAACAAAATGTAGCAATTGTTTTCTTTATTATTCTTGTAATTTTAAAAATACTTATAAAATATAAATATTTAAAATTGATTTAAAGTGAAAAAATGATTTAAAATATCAAAATGTGTGCTAATTGTCAAAAGTATAACTAGGGTGATGTTCGAGTCGGGTTGGATTCAGGTTTAGAGTGAAAAATACCCGATCCGACCCGTAAAAAAATATAATTTTATCTTATATATTTATGAATAATTACAATAACACCCCTCTATATATTATTTTTTTCAATTAAGTCATTGTTTCTATTGAATAAAAATAATATTTTTTTTATTATTTCAGGTCGGGTTCGTATTTTCTCTCAAAAAATCGGGTCGGATTCTCGTCGAGTGGAGGGTATATATTTTTCGGTTTGGGTTGGGTTGGGTCGGGTGAAGGATATAAAATTTTCGGGTCGGATTGGCCGAAACCCGACCCATACCCATCCCTAAGTATAACTGAATTGGGGTACTCTTAAGGTGAGGCTTTGAAGCCCAAGTGTTCAACACCAAATTCATACGGCCCATTCTTTTTCCCCTCTTTTCTAATTAATTTTTCTCCCAATATTCTTATATAACCTTTTCTCCTTTATTTTATTTTTACTTTGTTGATAGGACATCAATTTAGTATTAGTTTTCTTATCTTTTATATTATGTATTTTTTTTCTTGAGTTTCTTTTTTAATTTTAAATAAGAATTTATGTCATTATGACATATCTTTTTATATTCATATTTTTTCTGTTCTTGTGGTTTGATCGTTATGACTTTTAATGTTTTTTCGCATACCTTTTAATGGTCGTTTTGGTACTCGCACAAAAATCTTTATAACATATTTTTTGATTTTTTTTTGTCTGTAATCAAATATTATTAAATAGTTTGGTTCACTCAGCACTCCCTCCAGTAAAACGTTTTGTTCGAAAAAGACGATTAATTTTTATGAAGGTTACAAAATTCTTTAAATGTTTTTTGCTTTGTTTTTAGTGTTGGCCGTCGTTATCAAGGAAATGCTTCGATTTTTCGTTGTGTTGTTGAATTTAATATTTTTATTTTCTCATAATTTTATGGACAATTATAATCCTTATTTTTGGATGCGTTGGAGTTTACATTTTTTTCTCTTATTTATGATAATAAAATTCAATTGTTATTATTGAAAAAGAAATTAACATTTTCCCATTTTTTCATTGATAAAATTATACTAATGATCAGGGAGAATATCTAATTCAAATTCAGCTTCAAATAAACATAAGAATTTAATCGGATTAATTATTTTCGATACACGCAGTTCAGAGAAACACGAAAAAGAAAACCAAATTACCAGATAGCTGCCATCCCCGGTCTCACAGCATACTCTCATGGCTTCTCTATTTATAATAATTCTCCAATTTTTCTCGTAATTTCTCACAATACTCAAATGGCTAATGTTTCGGTAGCTGCAGAATGGCAGCTACTCTACAACCGGTACTACCGTAAGCCCGACCTCTACCCTATGAGATGGAAGAACATTGACTTATCCCGCAACAAGGTCGCATGTGCTCCCTTCGGTGGTCCGATCGCCGTGATGCCATCACGCATTTACTGCATGTATGCATGTGAATGTAAACCCATACATTTACGTTGATAATTGTTAAAGTTTGTATACTACATATACAATTGCGAGTTCAAGTACCTCTCGAACGATGCATGTTGACCACCTATTGTCTTTGAAGAATGGTTACCCAATCCGTAATTACATAGGAAGTTGAGGGGTTGGTCTGAATATACTCAAATTCATACTGATATGGATGACCCTAAAAAAGAGCAAGGTCTACAAAAGCTGTGTGTCCACTACAGAGGTGAAGGCCACAATATGAAGCATTGTAGACATCTACCACGATTTCGAGCAGGCTGATAAATCATTTGTAATCGTGTTTGTATCGATTTTACAAATATTAATGATAATTTTGAAGTTTTTATATGTGTCATATATAATTGTAAACAATAACGCTTAACTAAGGTCAAAATCATTCATTTATTTAAAAACATTTTTTCAACAAAATAAACATCTTTTCATCTCAATTTTTACATTATTTTTCTTATCCTCATTCCTTTCGATTAGTCGTTTGTTGTATCGGCTTACTAACTCCTCGTTCTTCTCCTTCTCCTTCTCCTCCTTCTCCCTCTTCAACTCCTTATGTTGATCAAGAATAGATTTTATTAATTCTTTCACCTACTCCCTATCTGAAGACGAGCTTGAATCTGAATCATCTAAAGAGTAATCTGACCAAAGATGATCTTTCAAAAATTGCTTGAAATATTCTTCTCACAATTCCATATTTACTTCTCCTATAACTCTATCAACTAACTCAACTCCTATTTATAGTTAAAATTTAAGAAAATGAACGACTATTTTTTTTTTAATCTACAACATACATAAAATTTTAAACATAAATAACTCGTCATCTCGAGATGACGAGTTCTATGTATTTTTCGGAGAAAAAATACACTTAATAATCTTCAAAAAAAATATTTTTTTAATGTGACTCATAACCTCGAGGTGATAAATTTCAATGAAAATATTAAAATATTTGGGCCAAAATAAAAAATTATGTCTATGGAACATCACCTCGAGGTGACGAGTTTGCTCTGCACTGTAGAAATTGTCTTAGATCCCAAAATAAATTTTGGGGTGTCCTATTGAGCTAAATAAAAGAACCGCCTACCCTAATGGGCCAAAAAACCCCACATTCCATTAAATTGAAAGGCCATTTTCATAAAAGCACTAATAACATTAATGAGGATTGATATTATTTTATAGAGAAAATAACTTCAGTGACCGAAAATGCCTTATAATATATGATTTTAATCAACTTTTTTTGGATTTGCGAAAATGACCAATAAATTCGCAACGCGAACTCTAATTTCGTAACACAGGTTCCAAAATCGCAACGCGAAAGTCAAATTCACAACGCGAATAGGTAAATCACAACGATAATATGTAAATCACAACGCAAATTCTCCAAATTTGCAACTCGAATTTCGCAACGCTAATTACCGATATAGGTAATTAGCGTTGCGAAAACGAAATTCGCAACGATAATATGTAAATCGATACTCGAATTCTCCAAATTTGCAACTCGAATTTCGCAATGCTAATTACCGATATAGGTAATTAGCATTGCGAAAATGAAATTCGCATTGCGATTTTGGAGAATCGCGTTGCGAATAGGTAAATCGCAACGTGAATTCTCCAAATTCACAACGCCAATTACCGATATAGGTAATTAGCGTTGCGAAAATGAAATTCGTGTTGCGATTTTGGAGAATCGTGTTGCGAAAACAAAATTCGCGACGTGAAAGTCAAATTCGCAATGTGAATAGTTAAATCACAATGCGAATAGTTAAATCGCAACGATAATATGTAATTCACAATGCGAATAGGTAAATCGCAACGATAATATGTAAATCGCAACGCGAATTCTCCAAATTTGTAACTCAAATTTCGCAACGCTAATTACCGATATAGGTAATTAGCGTTGCGAAAATGAAATTCCCGTTGCGATTTTGGAGAATCGTGTTGCGAAAATGAAAATCGGGTTGTGATAGTATTGTTTACCTATATCGTTAATTAGCGTTGTGAATTTGACTTCTGTGTTGCGATTTACATATTCGTGTTGGGATTTACCTATTTGTGTTGCGAATTTGGAAGACCGCGTTGCGATTTTGGAACTTATGTTGCGAAATTGGAGTTCA